GTGCAGAGAGCGAGATGGTGACGCTGCGACGCCCGTGGCAAGGATATCAGAATCAGCGTTTTATTGTGCCATCCATCAAATTCAGCCCATTGCTTATTTTTCGTGTGTCACTCAATGGTCGGTTCAGTGATTTTCCGATTAGTAAGATAGATTTCTCCATTAAAAAAATCAGATTTGTGGCTGAGTGAACTGTGAAACACATGATTGAAGTTAGCCAATGCTTCATTTATTCTCCGAAAAACACGCATGTCAGTGTCATATTTCACGCCTTAAACTAAAAGAGCGATCCTCAACCCTCGCTAATTTTACGCAACCAAGACATGTTTGAAAGCCAAAAATATTGTATTTACCTACATAAATGCCAGTATGTATGAATTATGTTGCGTGTACCCAGTACCCCAAATGATAGGTGCCCATTCCTGTTTCCAATATGGGCATCTAAAACAGCAAAGCTTATCACTAAGTGCAGTCTCACTGAAGACGATGTCAGCTAATCGACCAAAGTTGCCTCTTGCTTACTTACCTGTGAAGTAGACATGAGGTCAATCTTTTCAACAATATGTGAACTGTGAACACTAAGTAACTCTCTCTCTCTCTCTCTCTCTCTCTCTCTCTCTCTCTCTCTCTCTCTCTCTCTCCTCTCTCTCTCTCTCTCTCTCTCTCTCTCTCTCTCTCTCTCTCTCTCTCTCTCTCTCTCTCTCTCTCTCTCTCTCTCTCTCTCTCTCTCTCTCTCTCTCTCTCTCTCTCTCTCTCTCTCTCTCTCTCTCTCTCTCCTCTCTCTCTCTCTCTCTCTCTCTCTCTCTCTCTCTCTCTCTCTCTCTCTCTCTCTCTCTCTCTCTCTCTCTCTCTCTCTCTCTCTCTCTCTCTCTCTCTCTCTCTCTCTCTCTCTCTCTCTCTCATCTCTCTCTCTCTCTCTCTCTCTCTCTCTCTCTCTCTCTCTCTCTCTCTCTCTCTCTCTCTCTCTCTCTCTCTCTCTCTCTCTCTCTCTCTCTCTCTCTCTCTCTCTCTCTCTCTCTCTCTCTCTCTCTCTCTCTCTCTCTCTCTCTCTCTCTCTCTCTCTCTCTCTCTCTCTCTCTCTCTCTCTCTCTCTCTCTCTCTCTCTCTCTCTCTCTCTCTCTCTCTCTCTCTCTCTCTCTCTCTCTCTCTCTCTCTCTCTCTCTCTCTCTCTCTCTCTCTCTCTCTCTCTCTCTCTCTCTCTCTCTCTCTCTCTCTCTCTCTCTCTCTCTCTCTCTCTCTCTCTCTCTCTCTCTCTCTCTCTCTCTCTCTCTCTCTCTCTCTCTCTCTCTCTCCCTCTCTCTCTCTCTCTCTCTCTCTCTCTCTCTCTCTCTCTCTCTCTCTCTCTCTCTCTCTCTCCAGGCCATAAGGCACCATCCTTCATCAACATCCTTGTTTCGGAATGATTGTCAATCCACCCAGGCCCCGAGAAAGTTTGTCATTTCGTGACGCACCATCCGGCGGTTGAATCAGCCCACTGGCGGATCCAGACTTGCGTTTTGGGGGGGGGGGGCCAACTCCTGCAAGTGACCAAACCTAGGGTACCCCCAAATCCTGTTTTCTCATCGGATTTAGGCCACTTATTTTTTCGTCACAGCCCTGAAACGATATTTTTTTAAACTAAAAATAAAAAAAATATAGAAATGGTAGCCCACCCAACCCGAGCCTAAATATTACTTTGAAAACACTTCAAATTGCTTTTGTCGACCAATTAGCCCGCTCCGGGTCGGTGCGTGGCGCAGCCTTCGCGGGCTGGGAGGTGTCGGTTGGACCCCCTGCCGTTCGGCCCCTGATTAAGCTAGAGCTCGCGGAAAAAAAACAGGCGTGTTGCCCGTGAGTGACGAGACGAAGCCGATGATACCCGATTTTAAGGTCCTTGGTCATTGGTTGACCTTCCAGGGCGGTGTTTCACGGTCGTGCTGACAGCCGCTGACAGCGCATTCCGCGAGCTAAGGTCAGCCTTCGGTAGTGTTGTGGGTATAGGCTTGTTGATGTCTCCATTGAAACCAAAAGTGCCATCAGCGCTGGCAGCGGCTGGCAGCGTGCCGTGAAACACCGCCCAGGTCAGGTCACAGACCCAAAAGACGGAAAAATCAGGACCTGTCAGAACCTCCTAAAGTAAGGCTGTAATACGTTTTTTTTGTGCTGATCACAAATTTCATGTTAGTTTGGATCATAGATAATGTCTTCATGCGTTTAGACCATGTCGGGGCAGGTCAGGTCAGATCAACCAGTAGGGGTACTTATGGGCGTCCGTATAGCAGGTGTCCACTACCACTGGCAGCTACGTAACATGATACGAAGGCATCAAAACTACTTCGTAAATGTTCAAATGGCTGCAAAATGCTAAATTCAAAATCAGCTAAACGAAACTATCCTAGAAACATGTTAAACTCGGAAAAGTGCACCGAGGTCATCAAAGGTCAATGACCTGACTTGACCGTAAGGTGACATTGGCATCCGCCCTAATGCGTGGGAGCAACATCATATCACATGTTTGAGCGTTTTAAACCACGAAAAGACTATGAAAGCGCGGATAATGTGAGCCGACATACGCCGAATCGCTATTCCGGCCAAACATGGCCTCCAACATGGCCAAACATATGGTGCGTTCGGAGAGACACATTCCACGTGGAATCCGTTGAATATTCCATGCGCGCGGAATATTTCCGGAGATTAGCCGTTCAGAGAGATACGCCTCCGAACGCGGCACGGGGAATATTCCCGGGGACGGTGAATATTCCATGCTCTCCGAACGCACGGATAGTCTCGAGAAATAGGCCACAAGTCAAAGTTCACTTGGGTCAGGGTCATGAAATTTTCAGACTTTGTCACCATGAGGGTACTAAAGTTTCGTCGCGATCGGCTTCATGATACCTTACACGATAACTTCACACGTCGATCGAGAGTTAAAGCATGGATGAAGGAGAACCAGGGGATGAAGGTTCTTTCATCCATGGTTAAAGTGTGCAATAAGAACTTCTTGGGTGAAGACAAGACCAACACTTTTATCAAGCTCACAGATTTTTAATGATACGGTATTTTCTCTCTACCTACTACGCCCTTCTCACATTCATTTTTCTTAAGTGTTTTTGGGGACAAAAAATATATGTTGTTCCCCTTTCAGGCTTGGGGGCATGACCCCGTGGCCCCCCTGGATCCGCTAGGCCGAAACTAACTAGGTCGTTTTCAAACGGTCGGATATTTCAGGTCATAGTTTGCAAACGGCCGGTGTTTTCAGGTAGTTTCATATGGCCTGACTGGGCCAGGCCGTTTGCAAACGGACCGAATTTTCATACGGCCTGTAACATATATTCAGATTTCGACATCTGTCGTAGCATCAAATGCTGATGTGGCGCACTCAAAAGCCGGAATTGGTCCTTGGATGCCGTAAGGACCCTTTTAAGAAATAAGTGACCCGACTGACCCTTAGAGATTGGCCTGAGCTGTGACCGAAATAAGTCTTTTACCGTTTCGCAGGAAGGGACAAAAAGGTCCCTCATATGCTTCTTGTACAATTACGAAACAAAACAAACAAGTTTTTTTTCAACGAAAACTCGGGGAGTTTTCCTAAAAAATTTATTGCGCATATTCCGTGAATGAAAAGTTGCCGGGTCATGTCAGGTCAGGCTGCCACAGCAAGTTTGTTAACTTGACAGCTCAATCGATATTTATGCAATAAGACCTTCTCGGGTGACGATAAGACATGACGACACTTTATGAAGGAAGCTAGTAAACCCGGTAGTTTCTCCATAGGCGCGGGAACCGGGGGGAGGGGGCAGTGGTGGCAGCTTGCCCCCCCCCCAACTCTGGGGCCGTGCGGGCGGTGCCCCCACAACTTTCAGACAGAATACCGCTCCTTTTTGCAAATGTTTTCTTTTTTTTTTGTTGAAAAAGCCAAGGGATGAAAAATAAGTGGCCTAAAACCGGCGACAAAACTATATTTGGGGGATCCTAGGTTGGTCTCTATCATGGTGTGACCTCCCCCCCCCCCCGTCTAAAAGTAGTTCCCGCGCCCCTGGGTTTCTCTACGCTATTGAATCACGCTGCTGATTCTAGTAAGTATCTACTACACAACCTTCTCACATTAATTTTTCTTCGAGCGTTTTGGGGGGCCAAAAGATTGTTGGCCCCCTCTTTCAGGCTTTTTGGGCCCATGGCCCCGGTGGCCCCCTTGAATCCGCCAGTGGGGGCGGTGCCCCCACAACTTTCAAACGGAATACCGTCCTTTTTTGCAATTGTTTTCTTTTTTTGTTGTTGAAAAAGCCAAGGGATGAAAAATAAGTGGCCTAAAACCGGTGAGAAAACTAGATTTGGGGGGACCCTAGGTTGATCTCTATTATGGTGTGCTCCCCCAGTCTGAAAGTAGTTCCCGCGCCCCTGACTTTCTCTACGCTATTGAATCACGCTGCTGATTATGGTATCTACTACGCAACCTTCTCACATTAATTTTTCTTCAAGCGTTTTGGGGGGCCAAAAGATATGTTGGCCCCCTCTTTCAGGCTTTTGGGGGGCCATGGCCCCGGTGGCCCCCCTGGATCCGCCAGTGGGGGCGGTGCCCCCACAACTTTCAGACGGAATACCGTCCTTTTTTGCAACTGTTTCCTTTTTTTGTTGAAAAAGCCAAGGGATGAAAAATAAGTGGCCTAAAACCGGTGAGAAAACTAGATTTGGGGGGACCCTAGGTTGATCTCTATTATGGTGTGCTCCCCCAGTCTGAAAGTAGTTCCCGCGCCCCTGACTTTCTCTACGCTATTGAACACGCTGCTGATTCTAGTAGGTATCTACTACGCAACCTTCTCACATTAATTTTTCTCCAAGCGTTTTGGGGGGGGGGCCAAAAGATATGTTGGCCCCCCCTTTCAGGCTTTTGGGGGGGGGGCCATGGCCCCGGTGGCCCCCCCTGGATCCGCCAGTGAATCAGCCCGATGCCTCCCCTTATCCACTTTCACACTGACCTTCACAAACCAAGCAAGCAAAGCTGACCAGCCCTCCTCACGTTGCAGTGAAGACCAGCGGAAGAACCTGCTGGAGATGGGCTACTCCCACTCCCACCAGCCCATTGTGGAGCCCATCTTCGCCGACGTCGACTGCTCAGAGGCTGCCGAAATGCCGTTGATAACGTGATCTCGCTGCGCGTGTCATCTATGACAGAACTACCAGTTACGTGCTCTGTCGCCAGAGTGCAGCAGCGTCGCCGTGTTTGCCAGCGCCGGTTCGAGTGTGTCGCTGTTCATGTTTATGCCGTTTTCGCTCCAGTGGGCTGGCTATCGACCCCAGCGGCTCATCAGACCTGCCGTTCGCGTGCTAGCCTGGGGCGTTCGATGTCCAGAAATGCTGTATTAGTTGACAAGTGCCTCAGAATGCTATACGGCGCCGGCGGAAAGCGATAAGGCGGCGACGAATGCCTCAGTGGTAGCTGCTAAACGAGCTGCTTAGAGCGGCGGCGGGTGCCGGATGAAAGGGCATTGACAGACCGAATGCCTTTCTGGTGCGCCCGGCCGTGGCTGATGGAGCGTTCGCTGCTCGGACGAGAAATGTGATCGGAGCGGCCACCGATGAAGCGAGTGAGATCCGAAGGCGCCTGCTATCCGTTCAGTATTAACCTGCACACAAGAGGGAACTTGTTAGATGGGTGCGGCGCGCTTTTTGAGACGTTCCTATGTGTGTTCAGGTTCAAAGATGTAGTTTTAGAGTTTATTTTGAGGGTCAATATTAGTGCCTTTCACGACAAAACATTGGACACTATTTCAATGAATTTGAACGCTAAGAAACAGAATAATCAGTATTTTATTCGAGAGGTGCAAACACTTCTAGTTGACAGCGACTAAAATTTTCCAGATACAAAACCCATCAAACAGATCAAATAACTAGGTGCCCAATGTGCTGTCGTGAAAAGAGCAAAAATGTATTAACGTCCCTGACTAAATTTATGTCCAAATGACAAAGGTCTGAGGCCTGAGGGAGAAAATGAATTTAGTTAGAGAACGTAGTTATAAGTTCACGACCTGGTGCTTGTCTTTTAGCTTTTTAGGGACTGTGCTGATGTATCATGTATAAATATGTTGGTTGAAAATGCTCTCCTGACAATGCAGCGTGACATGTCTTGAGTGGCAAAGAACCGTGACCTCATCTTAACCAATAAAAACTTCGTGTTCTAATTTATGTGACATGATGTGCTTGCAAGTAGGGTGTAATGGGGGTTGGTTTTAACCCGTGCTCGGCGCCAGCCACGCTTAGCACCGGGTGAGGGGTGGGGTGTGTTTGAACAACGCCTGCCTTACACCTAGTTCAGGGCCTCGGCTAAGGAAGTTTGACTACTGGGGCAAATCGTTAACGTGTGTTGGCGCCCTGCTGGGGGGGGGGGGGTGTTTGAACACCTGCGGTTTTCCTGTGTTTTTCGCGGATATCTCAAAAACGGCGGCGCTCCATCATCCAACAATTCTACACGTGCTGTGAAAATTTCAGACCAAGGTCATTCAGGATCAGGTCACCAGGTCACTTCAAGTGACCTCACTTCATAAAATGTTTCAATGTATGTATGCCGTAGCTACACCGAGTGACCGATCGCTTTGAAACTTTCAGCGATTGATAAAGGCAACAGCATGTACAAAATTTATATCTCGGAATTTTCATATCGGTGACCTAAGGTCAGCTCAATTTTGCGACCTCTATTAGAAGTCAATGGAAGAAAATTCAAAACCACCTCTTTTGGACGAAAGTCATTCTAAAGACTATAAAACACCGTACGTGACTTTGACACACTGAACATGAAAATAGCACCCGTGACCCTTACTTACGCCCCTGAGGCTCAGTTCACGAATGGTATCTAACAGTTTTTCGCGAATAACTTTTGAAAGATGCATGCTAGAGCGATGAAAATACCTTAGTTGTGTTTGGCTCGACGATCAGATCGACTGATATGCAACATGACAATTTCCGGTCAGATCATGACCTTGACATGAGGTCGAATTTTTAAGTTGACCTTCAAGGTCAAATTGTAGCTAATTTGATGAGTCTTGACGAGAGGAACACGATGTCGGTAAAAGAAAGCTGGTGCAAGGCACGAGTCAAAAGTTATTGCAGAAAAACTGTTCCCCCAAAATCGTCTATTTTGGTAGTTTTTGCCCCTTGCAGGCAAAACCGTTGACGTTAGGTCAAATCTAAGAGAAATAACCAGAAAGCATGCTAATATGGCTATCAAATGCGCTTTTCCGCGGTGCTGTAGCTGTAATTGATTCCCGAGTTATGCGTCGGCATCTTGTAAACTGTCGATATTCGACCTGAAAATAGGCGAAATTTGGCCTTCACCATGACCTGACCTTTGACCTGACCAAAAAAGCGGCCGAGGTAATTTCGTCATTATTTTTGACGCTCTTTCGAACGTAGATGGATTATGGGGTGCAAAAAGATATGTTTGCCAATGCACACTTATGTTTTTGGATTGAAATTGAGGGTGCAGCTGCACACCGTGCACTCCCTCTTCCGCCGCCCCTGATTTCTTGCCACAAACGTCTTCAACCGCTCCCGAATGAAAGAATGTACGTTAATGTTGATATATTCTCATTTTGTGGAGGTTGGGCAAGGCCTGACCACTACTGGGGCATTCCTCGACTCTACTGGGGCATTTGCCCCAGTAGTTAACATGTTAGCCGAGGCCCTGACCTAGTTCCTGGCCCACTTAGCAATGCGCGGTAAGCCGCATTCGAAGGAGCGTCAAAAATCATGACGAAAGTACTCCATTAGTCTGAACTGTTGTTATCACTGATTTGAGAGACATGCTTAACCCACGACCGGTGGGGTCTGTTTATAACGCGACCTGGTGGGGGGCTATTTTTGCCCCTCCTCGTATCTCCGAAACTAATGGACGGATCCACAAAATTAGAACGGCATTCAAAAACCCTGTCAAATTTGTTGAGGGTCATCCAGTTTCATTGACCTCAGGGTCACCGATGACGTCACAGGTCAGGTCAAAGATAAAATGATTTGCCGTTTACGGGTCTTCTAGGGAATGCGCTATAACATCGAGGAAAACACATTTTATCGAAAACCAGCGATAGGGTGTCAGTTGCCTAGTACATATGTTGCTATAAGAGGTCACTGATAAGTGATAATACCAGGTCAGGTCACAGGTCAGGTCACCAAGGGTTGATCTGTGATAAGCAAACAAGACGCTTTGGAATCGTCTCATTTAGACCTTTCGTTTGGTGCCGCTTTTGTTTTTGTAGCTTCTATATTTAGGTAGCAAGTTATACGGGGGAGGGGCGAAAAACTCTTTCCTCGGGCTGTGGTGAGCGGCATTACCCTGGACCCGTCCAGCTAAGTCGCTAATTACTAGGATATAAAAAATATATAATCGGTAAAGTTGGGAACTGAAAACAAGAGATCAATTTAAAAAGGAAAAGAATGCGACCTTACACACTTTGCTTTACATCGCTGCAGGCCTGATAACTTCCTACTTGAAATCAACTGCGTACATCATCGTGTTTAATGTTTTAACGCTTCCACCCAAGGCCATCTTCCACCCAGCATCGATACGGTTAGCGTGCCGTTTCGGTATCGCACCGTCTGCCCTTGCAATAACATGCTGGAGTTACTAAAAAATACATTTGAACTAGTTGTATCATAGGCGTAGCACGTGCATCACTTATAAACCAGCTGCCTTTAATTACGTAAGTGCCAGCCGCAAGAGGATGAGAATCGATGAAGGCAATTTTTTCCAGGGCGACAGTTCGAGCCGCCGTGTCGTCAGCAGCGGACGCTCTTTACACTCGCTCCGTCCAGACAAGCCAGCATGTCTCCCGCGCGGCTGTGTCTGTCCCTGCTGCTGATGGTGCCACAGCTGATGACGAGCTCAGAGGCTCGTCTGATACCGGTACTACACTGGAGCGACCACGGACGCGGCCCGCTGGCCACCCCGGCCGCTGCCAACTGTGCCCAGTGCGGCGTGCTTTGCTTGCTCAAGCCAGGCTGTCGTGCCGTTGCCTGCTCCGAAAACACCGAGACAGGCACTTGTCAGTTGCTTGGGGACAAGATCAGAATTTGCGACCCAGACTGGACAGAATTCGAATCGGGCAGGACATGCTTCATTTTTCAAGATGATAAGCTGGATTGGAACGCAGCGAGAGCTGCGTGTCGTAATCTACGCTCTGGCGCCGAGCTCGCCTCAATCCACTCGGAGGAGGAAAATAACCTTGTCAAGTCGCTAATTCCGAAAGCTGGAGCCTTCATCGGTCTGGAGCACACAGGTCCGTCTGCGACTCGGGACTTCCGCTGGCTGGACGGTACCCCGTTCGACTTCACCCACTGGCGCGAAGGTCAGCCCAACGACAATGCAGAAAACGACCTCTGTGTGGTGGCCGAGCGAGAGACCGGACTCTGGTTGGACTATACCGTTCAAGTTGGAATGTTCAACTATGGAGGACTTTGCAAGTACACACCCTAAGTGTAAAGCATTGCCTACGTCTTTAACAGACTGACGAAGCCAATAACTTCTTCGGGGATAAAATTTGATTTAAGCCGGCGATAGCAGATATTGATGTGAGCAAAATGCACTTTGCACCAGTCTTTGGATGAGTGAATACAGGGCTTTCGCAGTTACACGCTTTGGCGCAGCGCTTGTGGTATACGCCCAGGCATCGTGTAAAAATTAGAGTTGATATCCATAGTTGATACGCCTTGGTTGATGCCAGGCATTTTCAGGGCGGCAAGTAAAATGATCGGAATCTTTCCATCATGACTGGTTTTTCGTTCTCTAAAATCATAGATACCATACAGCTCTTCAAAGTTCTGTGTTGTCACAGGTGCCTCTTTTATATGTAGGTATGGCTAGTGACCAAACCTTTTTTGTCAATGGATTAACCCTCGCCCGCACATGCCATTTTGCCATCCTAGAACGCACATGGGGGGGGGGGTTGGTTGCCACCCCCCGCGCCATTTCGTTCCTGTTGGAGATAGAGCTTAGCGGTAAAGATAAAAAAGATTCTTTGGGAAGAGACGACTCTAATGATACCCAGTTTTACCTTCTCAGGTCAGTCATTGACCTTCCAGGTCAGGTCAAACTAAAAAATGTTGCTGTTTTGGGTCACCGTTGGATATCAAGTGCGCTGCCCCGCGCCCCGTAGGGGGGGGGGGGCCGAAACGGCCCCCCTGTCCTTTTCCGTCGATATCTCCTAAACAGCTGGAGATATCACCACCAAACTTTCAGGACCCCTCCGGGCATCAATTTTACACATTGTGACTAAACAATTTTTTAAGAGGCTATGATAGGTTGGCCACAAATGACGTCAGAATGACGTCATGTTCTGCCATTTTCGACCGAAAAAAGACCTTCGCGAGAAGAGCTGTCAGGCCTACAGCTTTGAAGATACAGAAAAATGATCAGACTTAAAAGGTGTAGAATTGACAGGACTACAAAACTGCTATCTCGGATTTTTGAAATTTATGAGTTTTGACCCCCTAAAATCAAAACAGCATTTTTTTGGATATATTAGCCGAAAAATCCAAAAAGTTTTTTGAGTTTCGAAAAAAAACGAATATATGTGATAATACCTACCGTTTTCTATCTACATACCAAATGTCAGATCGATATCTCCTTTTTTGGCCAAGTTATAGCGAAAAAAACTGTTGAAAAAATGATGACGTCAAATTTTTAAACTCAATTTTTGGCAATTCTAGACCACGTAGGCCAAAACAAAGACCACCATTTGACTCCCCGTGACGAGCTGCATCGAATGGATACCCATTTTATGCAAAAATATCAACTTTGAAATTTGACCTAATTTGATCTGACCTTGACCTGACCTTGACCTGACCCTCACCGGAACATAATCTAAACTGATCCCAAAGGCTGCCTGACCCACATAATCGCATTTGTCATGTAAAATGGACCATAAAACATGTATCACACGATACTTTCATATTGTGACCCCTAGTGACCTGACCTCTGTGACCTGACCTGGTATCGGTGACCTCAGATAGCGAAGTAGGTGTTTGACGAACAATGTACCATCGATGTTTTTCAATAACTTACCAATTTACTCGATTTCACAACACATTTCTTGAAATGCCTGTGAACGGTGAAAATCTGACCTTTGACCTGACTTGTGACGTCATCGGTTTGACCTAGGTCAATGAAATTTGGTCACAATGTAGTTCCCGG